CTTCAGGGCATACTAGTGTATTTCAGAGTTAGTATCCCTTGTACCACGTAGATTTTACAAAAGGGGAAATATTTTTACTTTTATTGTAGAATTTTTTTTCTACTACACTTACATAAAAGTGAGCTGGTCTCATTTTGAAAAGAAAAGAAAGAAGAAGTTAATGAAATTTAATTACTTTTATATAAGTGTGATAGATAAAAAATTTCTGGAGCAAAAATAAAAATATTAAACTCTTCATAAAATTGTGATCTTTAACAATTGCGGGTTCAAAAAGCCCGATACAATGACTGTTGATCTTATAGATATTTATGCAGGCTTTAATTAATACCTTTTTTTATTTTTGTATGGAGTTAAAAAAATCTATATAGATAAAATAAGAAAACAAATGAAATACTTTTTTAAATTTGATTGTTTTCTTAATATCTTCATAAAGCGATATAAAAGAATATAAATAAAGTGAATGAATAATTTAGTTAACTGTAATTATATTTTTTAAAGTTAAAATTATTTGATAACCTTTATTTTATCTTTATAAGGAATTTTAAATAATAACTATTTCAAAATATAAATACATTATTACTAGTTAAGCTTTTTGAGTTGTTGACTGGGTGCTAGGATGCTTTGTAGTACCTTTCTTTACTTAGTCTATCAAGAAAAAATTTATTCTTTTTCAAGATATTGACTCAATCACGCAAGTGCACGCATCAAGTAATAAGTGGAATTGTTAGTGCCAAATTATTGTTCCCACGATCATCATCGTCGCAGCCACTGCCGTCACTACCACCATCATGTTATCACCACCACCACCACCACTACCATCACCACGCCACAGCCATCACCACCACTTCCACCACCGCCACCGCCACGCTACTATCACCGCTACCACCACCATGCTACCATTACCACTGTTGCCACCACCACCACCACCACCATCACATTATATGAAAAGAAAAGTGATGATCTGAAGAAAAAAATTTGCTTAATAGGAATATTTTTTATTCTTTTATTTATTGTGTTATCAAACGTAATTCTCATTCTCGGAATAAAAATAAAACATGTTATAAAACATTTTTTTTTTTAAGAAATTGTTCCAGGGCACAAAAATAGAAAATAATTATTTCTTTTCAGAAACAGTATCAGGGAACAAAATAGTTGTCATGCACACTTTTAGCTAGACTTGCTTCAAGCTTATCAGTAGGATTTAAAGATCCAACCATTGTGGATTTCTCTCGATCAAAGCACTAATTGATAGACCTCACTTTAAGAGGAGGGTCCTCTTAAAAGAAAAATAACTGCTTATAGAGAATATTTTTTCTTATTCTTTCAAAAAGCACATCAGTCCTTTCAATACATCAGCATATTTAAAGGAAATCATATTACTTGCACCTAACCACTTCTGACAAACTCTCACACCAACAATACTCTCTCTTCCCATAACAAATTTCATACTTTTTCATATTTAAGGCAACCAGTAATGATCCATCCATGGCGGTGGCGTGGTAATGGTAGTGGTGGTGGTGATGACATGGTGGTAGTGGTGACAACAGTGATTGAGACGATGGTAATGATGGTAGTGGTGGTGATTGGTGACAGTGGTAGTAATAGTTAAGGTAATGATTAAGGCATGGTGGTAATGATAGTGGCGGTGACGTGAAGACGGTGGTGATGGTCCACTAGCGGACCTACATAGGTGCCAATGTCTACAAGAAGTGCAGACACAAAAAATTGTTTACTAACAACATCCCCATATCTCAATTTTTACATCGCACTCATCGTTCATTGCTTGTGACCAATTCCTATCTCCTAAAGGCTTCTTGTATAGTCCGTAGGGTATCTAACTATCTATGGTGTTTAAGGTTGACAAGAAGACTTTGTATCTATCTTAAAGGCTATGCTAAGATATGTAATGGGATATGGGGTGCTGAGTGCAACATCTTTTTACTTTTCTCAAAGCTTTAGGTAGATCAAGGTCTGAGATTTTTGCAGCATCTTGTGGTCAGTTAGTTGCACAGGAATGTATGATCTATGCTAATGGCAGACCTACATACTAACTTTTTATGTTAGGTTAAAATTTCTTTTCTTTTTTTATTTATATTCTTTTGTTTTTTAATGCATTTAAACTTTTTTTTAAAAAAATTTGGGGGGCAACTCTGTCATTAACTGTGCAGACATAAATAAAATTTTTTGGGTTCGCCACTGGTGATGGTGGATGTGGCATCGTGGTGGTGGTACAACAATGAAGGCGATGATGGTGGTGGTGGTCGTGTCGGAATAGTGGTGGCAGTAGTGAAGAGTAATTGAGAGAGATAAATGTTTCTCCTTTTGTGTCCCGGGAACAAAAAGGTAAAAAAAAAATTGATTTTTTTTTGTTTAACAACAAGAAATTGAACCGGTTCATTCTTCTCAAAAAAATAAAATAAACCGATCTTGTAAAAAATGATTCTAGAAAGATTGTGTTACCCACCCTAAATTGTTAGAAACTCAATTGACACTACACAAAAATTGGGTTTCATGGCTTACAAAATTTCCCACTTAGAAACCAAAAATTTTTCGTTTCCTGAATCATCGCCCACCGCAGGACCAAATACCCACACAAATTCCATTGTAATTATTTCGTCAACGATGAAGCTGGATATTCCATATTTTGTGGTTCAGCTTAGGTGGCGCGGGTTTTTAAAATCTTCCAATTCTTTGAGTTCCACCGCACTCTTAACGAACAACATATCAAAATTGTGTCCTTTTACATGGAGGATGAAGCCTTGGTGCAGTTTCAATGGATGCATGCTAATAAGCAACTCCTTTCCTGGGCCAACTTCCTTAATGTCTTAGAGCTTTCATTTTGCTCCTTCCCAGTATGATCCCAAGGAAGATCTATTCAAGCTTTCCAAGACTATAATTATGAGTCACGTACTAAGATCTATTCAACTTCTTGTTTTGATCAAGAGCGAAAAACATCATTCATGTGTAAAGATTGGAGATATATAATGGAGTCACTCAAGAAAAACAATGAGATAACAAATGGAGAGCAATAACGAGATAATTAAATGACAATAATAAAGATGAGCATTGAAGATACAAACCAATAGAGCAATGAATCAAGAGCATTGATTTGACATTTCAAGAGCAACAAGTATAAAACTTGGGCAATAATCAAGAAGAGATTCAAAGAAGAAAACCATTATAAACAATGCTATGTTGAGGGACAAAACGATCATGGTCAACGTACAAGAAAATTTCACAACATAAGCCATGGTGAAATGAAGATCAAGTTCAAGCTCCTGTGATATTTAGCTTTCTAGACTTAGATCGTTTGTAAGGGTATGATATTGCTTTTATTCATGAGCTCAAGGTTGCAAAGTTCAAAGGTCTCAAAAATTGCATATTTACATATTGCATCCCCCCAAAAAAAAAAAAAAAAAAGCTTAACGATTTTAAAGTGGATACTTTTCATATTGCATAGTTTTCAAACCTATTTTAAAATGAATCATATATGATTTGATTGATAAAAATCCTTTTTCCAAGAACCTAAAATATGTTTCTAAATGTTAGAAATCAAGTTTAAGTCATAAAGTTTGAAAAGGAGTGAAGAGAAAAGCATTTTGGGCCAAAATTTTATTTACTGTCATGCTATGTCCTAATGTACAAGGGTATATGAACAACATATCCGGATATATTTGATCCATATCTGGATATTTGCTTATAATGACAATAAATAAATAGTTTTCAATGAAAACTCTAGAAATACATTTCCAACGGCTCTAAAATTTTATGGGCTTTATTTTTGCACTTTCTAAGAATATTTTCAAAGTATAAAAAGATTCATAAACATTCATTGAAATCATATACACAAATCTATCAATCATAAACTCATTTACCAAATATAACTTTATACTTTTCATTTTAATTTAGCCTTCCTTCTATATAAAATAAGTAACTTTACCAAGTGTAATATAACTTCGGTAAAATTCAATTTGTAGTCTCAAGCCATAATTTTGGAGCGCAATCATGTAAACCAAATCTCACTTCTTCTTCTTCTTTTTTAACCAAATCTCACTTTAATAGTTAAGAAGCTTGATTCTTAACTATTTTAATTTACGCTAGTTCAAAAAAAACTTCTAAATACATATGCTCACAACCTTTATGTAATTGTAATTATGGATTAGACAGAATTCATTAATTATCTTTTCCTATGTTGCATGAGTTATTATTTATTGAACATTTTTTTATTATAGTATATTTTTTATTTTTTAAAGTAATTATAAAATATATCATCACTATTATTTTACGAATTTTTTTATGTATGTGGATATTATGACATGATTAAATTTTTTTTCTTACCGTACTCACTTTCTGCTTTTATTTTATATTCCGCACTCCATATTTTTAATAATTTTTTTATTTAATGAAATTATTAAATGCATTGTACAGAAAAATATTATTCTATCTTTTAAAAAAAATTAAAATAAATTCTCAAGATGATTTTATTTTTTTTCAAAAAAATTATTATGTATTTAATTAAATACTTAATTACATGTTAATGCAATTTTATTATAGATAAATATTGTGAGGATGTCAACTCTGCAACCAATATTATTAAATTCAATAGGTAAGTGGATCAAGGGATTAATGGTTCAACAGATAGGTAATTGGTTTAACCAAATAAGAAGAATTTATATTAAATTGTATAATAAATATATTGAAAGATGTATTTAGACCAACAAATCTTAATATATAGAATCTTAAACCTACCATTGGAAACTTTGCTGACGTGTCGCTCTGTCCTTCATTCTCAGCTTTGTGTTCACACTTAAGAAGAGTTTGAAAAGTTGCCTCTTTTGGAAATTTTTTATTTTTCGAAAAAAGAAATTGAAAAAAGGGTGGGATAATATTTGATATTCAAAATTCGTTGGTGGCAGACAGCTGTATAAGTGCTCCACTATTTCCTGCATCGGTAATGGTTAAATGTATTCTACAAACACTCATTTATTTTTAAATAAAATATGACTTTGCCTATAAATAGGATATATGTAATTGGCAATTCTTCCTTTGCTCATCAAAAGCTTCGTCCACTTCTCCAGTTTCTAATTGCTTCTCTCTTTTTTTGATTTCGTTCTTTTCTTCTACAAGCATCGTCCACTTCTCCAGATTCAATTTGCTTCTCTTTTTTGTGTTTGTAGCCTTTTCTTCTACATTATGTTCTCCAAATATGATTTGATAAAGGACCTTAATCCTACCAAGGAGGATTGGAGGATTAAGGTGAGGATGCTGAGGAGTTGGAAAGTTCCTATTTTCAATGTAGGGATTTTGATGACAACTTGGAGATGGTTCTGTTGGATGAACAGGTGAATACACTTTCCTTTTTTTACTTTATTTTGTCATCTCTGTTTGCGTTCGATTTTGGATGAACAAATTCTTAATGTGTGTTATTGTAGGGGGCGGTCCATGCCATTGTTAAATGTTCTTTGCAAGTGCGAAAAAAAATTCGTGAAGGAGAGTCTTATTTTATTAAAAAATTTGGGGTTGGATTAAATAGCGATAATTATAGGCCAACTAGACATGATTATCACTTGTCTTTTAACCTCAGGACGGATGTTACATCCATTGCTGATGCTGTTATTCCTGTCCATGGATTTGATTTTGTTCAATTTGACACAATTGCGAACGAAGGAGCTGACTCTCCTTATTTAGTGGGTAATGTTTTTTGTCTTCCTAACTATTTTTTGTTTTGATAACATTGTCGTAAGCCCTCCTTCTTTTTCGTGCAGACATTATCGGTTTACTATCTGGTATAGGCGAAGTTCGTGAGCATGTAATCTCTAGTAGAAAAACAAAAATGGTTGTGTTGGAGCTGGACAATCTCAGGTGTTACCCTTTGTCGATATGGAATGTTTTTGTGATCTATATCATTGTGTTATATGTGTTATATAAATATATTGCATGGTTTCTTCGTATCAATGCAAAAATAGTGGCTAGAAGCTTGAGTGTACTTTGTGGGAGCAATACGTTGATGAAGTGCAGACTTTCTTGGCGAGTAATCAGTCTCCTCAGAATGTTATAATCATTCAGCTTTCGAGAATAAAGAGTTTCAAGGGTATTTTTTCATGTCTTTCGTTCCTTGGCTCTGTGGTATTCTGTTTATTTTTTGTATATCTGTCTATTGTATATTTTATTGTATAGGTAAGATAGGAATAACAAATACAAAGTATACAACAAGGATCATCACTGATTCCAGTGTTCCCGAGATAGCAGCCTTTAAAAAAAAGTGTGGTGTGTTTTCTTTATGTTTGTAGTGTAAATTGATAAATGAAATCGTTTTTCGTTGACGCAGTGATGTTGGCATGTGCCCTCACTATTTTGTGTTTAATTATTTTTAGGTTTCTTTCGTCTGATCCTGTGGATAGCAGTCAATTGTTGACATAGTTGTCGAGCCAATCATCGTATTCTTTTTAGAATGATTTCTTAAAGGACACTGAGAGGAAGTGTATCAATGATATTAAGGATGGCAATGAGGTCAAAACATGCAACACTTATGGAACAATAAAGTCGATTGAGAACAAGTACAACTGGTGGTACAAATCATGCAAGAGATGTCTGTATTCTGTTTCTGAAGATTTTGAGAAATGTATTGTAAGAACTGCCAGAAACATTGGGCGGATTATCATCCAAAGTGAGTTAATTTTTTTCTTACACTATTTTAATAAAAGTCGACTTCTTCCATATTTGCGAACGTAAGACAACCATTGTGGACATTTTACAGATTTAGTGTTCAAGAGAGAGTGGTTGACAGTACGGATTCTGCTTCGTTCATACTATTCGATATAGACTGTGTGGCTTTACTGGGCATGAGTGCTGCTGATTTATGCGAGAAGCATTTCAAAAGGGTTTGGTCGTCACTCCTTTGTATTTTGATAACCGTCGAGTTTTATCCTTTTATCGTTGCTATTTTTTAAATTAACTTTGTACAACATGCTTTTTGTAGGGTGCTGATTTAGAAACTTATCCATCTGAGCTGAACGTTCTCAATGGAAAATCCATGTTGTTTAAGGTGAATGTGAAGAAAAATAATTTACACGCATACAATGAGTCGAGATATCAAGTATCAAAAGTTTGCTGCGATGAATCGATTATTGCAACATTCCTCAAGTCTGCTGTTGACGTAAATGTGTGTTTTTTCCTCTTAAAATAGTTGTTCCATTTTTTTTTACGTAGCATTTTGTGCTATTTAAATTAAAATTATTTTTTTTCTTTCCAGGATGAAACAACATTTGATAATGCTGATGATAACTGTATGGTTCCATCAGAATCAGAAAAAGTTCTGATATTAACAAATTATTTGAAATTTATAAAGGTGTTTGTGTTCTTTGTATAATGTAATCTAACTACTTATGATTTAAATTACATTTTTTTATTTCTTGCCAGGATTTTGAAAGCCAAACCTGTGGGAGTACAAATGATGATGACGTTTCTTTGTCTTTGTTGACACCGTCTGTAAATTATAATGAATCTATGGAAGACAAATTTAATTGTTCAGTTGTGCGACCATTGAAAAAGATAAAACTGGAGAAAGAGTTGAGTGCTACCCCAAAGTAGTTCTGTACTTTGCCTATAACTATTTAAATATCGCAATGTATTAGGATACAAAATGTGTACTGACAGATTACCAATTTGTTTTGTTTTGTTTTTTTGAATTTTTTCTTTTATAGTTTCGGTGCTGAGGTCCGAGACACAGCGCATGAGAAGGATGATGTGTAGCTAGTGTTGTTGTGGTACCATTTGAAGCCAGTGCAACAAATGTGACGTTTAGGATGGCTTTGTAATTATTTGACATTTTAATTGACAATGTCTATGACGGAGAATTATTTTGCAAGTGAATTTATGAAGTTTATTGATTTAAAAATAGTTGTATATTATTAGTGTTTCTTTTTTATTGTTCATCGTATTGAGCTTAAAATGAATTTGCATGTGTTTTAAATGTTTTACATAATTGAATTGTAATTAGCCAAGGTAAATGCCGGTGAGGAATTTAGCATGATGTTGTATTGTAATGCACCTACTATAATTAAAAACAAAGGGCGATCGATAATACAAGCGAATCTGCTCTAATCGTCGTGGTATCTCTTACGTCGCAGTGTTTTTGATTGTTTTTGTATTGCAAATTATAAACTATTTATTATTGCTATTCGTATACAACAAATGCATGTAAATCTTCAGACAATTATACTGTATTATAATCTGATTGTGAAGACCAAACCCCCTGGATTAATTATTTTAATTGGGAATGTGGAGTGCCATTTGTTTGAAATTAATATGCATGTGTTTGAGATGTTTTACATAATTGAATTGTAATTAGCCAAGGTAAATGCCGGCGAGGAATTTAGCATGACGTTGGTATTGTAATGCACCTACTATAATTAGAAACAAAGGGCGATTGATAATACAAGTTACTTTGCTCTAATCGTCGGGGTATTTCTAATGTCGTAGTATTTCTAATAGTTTCTGTATTGGAAATTATAACCTCTTTTACATGTAAATCTCCAGACAATTATGTTGTATTGTATTCAGTTTGTGAAGACCAAAAGACACATATTAATTATATTTAATTGGGAATGTGGATTGCCATTACTTATGAAATAACAAATTATTTTAAATCTTCAATTTATTGTGTCAGATTGTTGCATTTGTCGCTACTGTAATGATGACTTCAATTTGCATTGAAAATGAAAGCGTAATGAATTGTAAGGGACCTTAAGTGTGACCTGTGTCAACCAGCATTTAGTAGGTATCATTGGGGTGTTGTTTCCGGGAAACCTATGCGCCGAGATAGCTTGCAAAAGCATTTACTTCTTATCATTGGTGTATATGTTATTTGTCATTTCAAATACCAAGAATTTGCATTAAAAAACGTAGATGATTGAATCAAACTTTTCAATTTTCAAATGATTATCATTGAACAATGTATTTATTGTTCTGTGATGTTTCGAATACCAAGTCTGGACGCTGATTGTTTTGTAGTGTATTCACTGCCAAATGACGTTTGAAATACCAAGTGACGGCAGTTAATAATGAAATGGAACCTTTGTTTGATGTTTGCTTTATCAAGGCAGGTCGTAGATAGTGGAACTTGATACGTAATGTTACTTTTGTTGGAGGAAATTTCTTACTTTTTTTAAATTCGTAATTCGTAATAACTAAAATGAAATAATGAGTTAACATGGAATATCAATCGACGCCGGAGAAACTTGCATATGCTTTCAAACGACCGCTGATCGAGTCACATCGTTTAATTTGGTTGTTGGCCCACTACACAATTCTCTAATTGAAATGATAGTTGTTCATCCATATAAACCAGCCATTTTCATTAGTTTATATTGTATTTTCCTCTTGCTTTTTTTAATCATTTCAAATGGGTGAATCTTTTTCTGCAAAACGGGGGATGATTAAAAATCAACGATGTCACTCCCTTGAATCTCTACTGAATGATTTATTGCTGCGCATATTTGGAAATGTTGCATATTATTCCATGGAGGATATCTCCAACGTTAAACTAACATGCAAAGAGTTTCTTCGTCTTGCAGAACATGATAGTGTGTACAACCATGCATCATTGGACAAGTTCAAGTTGGAGCCTCTGAAGTGGATGACCGAAGGAAGGCCGTTTCGTTATCATGTCCAGGGTCATCATGATGATGAGAACGCGTCATCGAACGAGGTGAAGGTGGTTGAGTGGGATTTGTCTCCAGAGGAAGTATTTGACAACGAACGGAGGATGTATTTCTTCAAGCGTTGCAGAGAGAGTGAGAACCTTGCAATCATATATCGTGAAGGAATGGTCCGATATTTCAGAGAAACCAAAGATTCTGATACTATAGACTTACATTTTGCGTCCTTGAAAATTGTTGCTATGAATGGTCACGACGAGGCCAAGTACGTGTATAGCATGCTTTTGATGTGCTTGGACGATGAAGCCCAGAGAAACCAAGGATTTTATATATTTCATTTGCTGGATACATCCGAGAGAGTCAAACAGTGTGGACAGCGTGTCAAGACTTTTATTCTTCTCTATGGATGCGTCGAAGAGTTCTCCCTCAGAATCAATCATCCTTCTATCATTCTAAGATATGTAGCACTCTTCAACCAACAATTAAAAGAGACCCCAGGATATTGCATGACGAGTATGATGATGATGGACCCGAATGTGAAAATTGCAGGGCAGATTTTGAACTGAAATTATTTTGTAGCATGACTGGTGTTTAATATCATTTTATCAAACTGATAGCATATTGGTGGATCGAGTCACATGGGGATTAAGTTCTTTGTTTTTTATTTTTATTTTTTAATTGTTCTTCGTTATCATGTATTGGACTTTAGCGTTTATATTTATGCAGTATTTATTAAGATGTTGATATGATTATTTCAATTTCATTTTCTTGACTTCTTTTCACTATCGATACATGGACAAGATGTATTAAGGAGTGAATATACAAAATACAAATATCATATTTTAAGGGACAAAATAGACAACAAACAGATTCGATCACATTTGAAAGCGTGAATATAATCCATGTGCAATTGTATTTGAAAGGGGAAATTTAGATTTTGCCACTTGGTCAAAGGTTTGAATATTTGTTATGTATGTTAAGAAGCTAAGTGAGGCATAACTGGGTTGTTGGAATAACCATTCATCAGATAAACAAAGAAACAAATAATTTTACATGACAAATTCAAACATTAACTATGAAGGTTTAGATTTACGAAATCAATTGGTGTGCCTTTATTATCTATTCAAAATCTTTAATAAATATTTGTTGCTTTTTCTCGAGATACACTCATTGGAAACTCCAATGACATGGATCATCGTGTGGGATAATAACATTGGAACCTTTTTGTTCTCCTATATATTATTACCTACGTTCGTTATTTGTTATGTTTTCTTTGTCAACATTATCCTTCTGTATTTTGGTAAATGATATAGTTTTGAAACCTTAAATCCCTACGATGAAATATATGGCTGGTCTCCAAACTCTTCCAGAAGATCTGTTGTTGATATTGGTAAAGGTCGCGTCCATTTCCATTGAAGACGTCGGTAGAATGAAAATGAGTTGCAAGTATTTTCAATTAATTGCAGAGCATGACTTTGTATACAAATGTTCATCGTTGGAGAAGTTTGCACTTCCATCAATTGAATGGATTAGCGAAGAAAAACCATTTTGGCATGTTTTAGATGATGATTGCGATGATGATGATCAAGATGGATGCGTTAACAAACGGTGCGAATATGAATTGATGGGAGATGTGCAATTCTGCAGGCTTAAGGAGTATATCAAGGAGCGCAAGATTATCTTCTTGAAAAGGTGTAGGGATAGTTCCAACCCAATCATTTTGTATCGGGAAGGGATGATACAATATTTCAGAAAAAATTTAAATTCATTTTTGGAAAATATCGCTATTGAAAAACTTAAATCTTCTGCGAACGATGGTCACAACAAGGCCAAGTATGTGTGTTGCATGCTTTTGATGAATGGAGTGGAACATGAACACTGGAATCTGGGATTTGATATTTTTTTTTCTTTGAAAAAGACCATTGATTTAAATGGATGCAGAGACCGCGTGAGATATTTAATTAAAAGTATGTGGGTGCATAAGGAGGTGATACCAAATCCGGACTTTTCTTGGGGTCTTGGGGTCATCCTGACATATGCAGCCGGCAAAAACATGTAGCAGGACGATCAGCAACGGAGAAGGATGATGTTAAGGGTGATTACCGTGTTATATGTGATCATTGTCATGCAGAAGAGGAACTAGAGGAATTTTGTAAAATGACTATATTTTGAGTTCATTATTTTTTGTCAAGAGTTTAAAGTGCAACAATGTCTTTAGGGTTTAGGCTTTAGTAAATGTAGTTGTGGTGCAATTTTAATTTACCGTTGAGAACATTTAAATGCAATTTTCACATTTTGTATTTGAACTATTTTAATCTGTTATATATTTTATATTTTATATTTTATGTATGAAGTTTTTCCTTTGTCAAGTTATGACTAAATTGGATTTGAACTATTTCTCATGTTATGACTAAATTGGTCATTGGTATTTTCAGTAAAAGGGAATCATATTGATATTGTCCGAAAGCAATAAGTTCTTGGCTTTTCATATTCCTCATAGTGTTTGAATGATGATAAGGAGTTACTAATAATTGTCTTCAACATAGGCTATTCATAGCTGGTAGTGTCCATCCTAATAAGTGTGTGGCTTTTCGTATTTCTTAAAAAAAAATTAAACAAAGTGTTAAAACTAAATGATTGTCATTTAATAACCACTTTCAACTTTAATTAATTATATATAATATTAAAATGAAAAGATAAAACCTTTTGTGGTGCTTCTTACCGGTACACGCGCACAGTCGCGTTTTGATAAAAAAAATGAGGTAACAATACAGAGGCATCTTGTGTTATTTAACTTGTTTTGAGTTGCGTAACATCATGAAGAAAGGTCCATCACCAACGCAACCTGCTACACAAACGAGAAGAAACCGTAACATGTGTTTTCCATCTCCAGGTACAACGAAAATTACATCCTCTAATTATTTCGTATTATGTTGTTTGCATGTAAATGACTCGCGTATTGTTCTGTAGAGCAACCTTCTCCGTCTTCTGCTTTCCTTATGGGCGGGCAATTTTTTTAATTGTTTGTGAATTTGCATGTTGCATCTATGATCGTTTGTCAGTATAGAGATTTGACATAGTTGTTCTTACTTT